AACAAGCACAGCCGTGACGACCAGAACGAGCAGAAAACAGCTCTGTATACTTGTCCCATCAGATACAACGAAGCAGATTAGAAATTGAAACGAAATTAGTTCAAATAATACCAAATGGCAAATGGTATATAACTCCAAGGGAAGAGGGGGAGGAGGACGAGGGACAGGAAGAGGGCGAGGAGGACGAGGAAGAGGGAGAGGAAAGAGGGAGAGGAAAGAGGGAGAGGAAGATGGACATGAAGACGGACATGAAGAGGGTCACAATGGAAGAGGGGGAGGAGGAAGAGGAAGAGAAGAGGAAGAGGAAAAGGGATAGGAAGACGGAGAGGAAGAGGGACACAATGGAAGAGGGGGAGGAGGCCGAGGAAGAGAAGAGGGAAAGCTAGAGGGACAGTTAGAAGACAGTTAGAGGGACAGGAAAAACGACAGGAAGAGGGACAGGAGAAAAAAAGGAAAGGTAACTCCATGTCAATGCGATCAGATAACCGCTTCTGAGACCCAATGAAGCTAGTACAGGTGATGAATGGAAGGGCTGTGAGAGAGATTTGCTTGCACTTTGGGGAGTGATGCTCCCCACACTGTCTGCTCTTGTGGCAAAGAACCTGCAGCGACGTCCCACTAAGGACCCGGATTCTGCATTTTAGGCCAGTGACCTTCCTAATCGAGGGTCTGAAATGAAGACGTATTATTACTAATTTATTAGGGAAGAAATTGAATCATATCCTCGCTTTTTTGTCGTCTTGCTGTTTGCTCATGTGCTCTAAATCACAGAGCAGGAATCAATGCAGCAACATACACAATGGCAGGGATCGTAAGGACCCGCAGGCACAACTATCACGCAAGGTGCAATGAGAACATAAATAGTGACATGATCATCACATATCTAACATCCATGCATTTAATAAATAATTTTTACAATTAGAATTGCGTTCATTTTTCCACAGAACTATAGAAATAACTACGCATTGCACCCTCATCCTCTTGTACATAATTCCATTTTCCTACATATGGGAGTTCGTTGGCACAGTGGATGGAGGTTGGCATAGTGCTATACAATAGTCACAGTATATACCATACACTAGTATACAGTATAATACTATATAGCGCACACATCGAGATACCAGTGAAGACTCGTGGGATCGTCAACAAATTCTGCCACTGCAACCCCCGGGGGATTCCAGCAGAGACCGTCACTGACCTTCGCGAAACTTCGGCTGACTTTGCGCAGAAGGGCAACAAGCGTGTGTTCTATAGGCGTCGCCATCTGCTTTCCCTTTTCAGACCTGAGCGCATAGAAGCCCTTGATGCAACATGCGACTGCAACCTTCTTGCCGTTACATAGCTTCACCTGGTACACAGAAAAAAAGAAAAAGAAAAAAAACAATTTCCAAATTAGAACATGACTCCTTCGAAGGGAAGTACATTCAAGCAATCAATGCCGCTTGCTCGGGTCCCTCAACAAGCATGATGGGGGGGAAGCGTGACTGTGTGCTTATCCTACCTTCTGATTTGACTTGTCGGCATAATAAGAACACCAGACTGACACTCCCAAGAATGGATAAGGAGCCAGATCCACGAGGTTCTGCTCTTAATAATAATAATAATAATAATAATAATAATAATAATAATAATAATAATAATAATAATAATAAATCATAATAAATCATAACGACTTGGTTGAAAAAAGAAAGACAGACATAGAATCACTTGGTAGCAGTTGGTACACAAAAAAAAAGATTGAAAAAAAAAACAGGAATTTTTCCGAAATTTAAATTTCCATATTACAATTTAGGACATGGGTAATAAGTTAATAACGACTCCGTTAAAAAGAAACAGACGCGAAACCAAAGTTACTTCATTTGTCAGTTTTGAAGTTCTAGAATCTACAAGATTCTAACAGCTTGGATGACAAGTTCAGTCACCCTATTTCTTTCATCACCGGGAAGCTGGGTAAAAAAGTTTCAAAAGTTAACAGAAAACAATTTTTTTTTTTCGGGGGGGAAGAGAAACTCCGGATTTTGGCCATTATCTACACACCATCTGAAAACGTTTTTTGGGGGGGGAGAGAAACTCGGTATTTCAGATATGACCTCCGCATTTCTTCAAGTTTTTTGACAGCATGTGGTGCAGTGAAAAACCACAATCAGAACATGGACGAGTGAGACCCACACTCCCTTGCTGTGCCCTCGGAGCTAGTGCAATGATGGCAATTCCAATTCCAGTTACTCACTGATCCATTTTGTCTCAGCTCTGTGAGTTCCTGTCTCAGGCACCCAGGTTTCAAATTGCACCAGTACTCTCTCTCTCTCTCTCTCTCTCACACACACACACACACATCTCTCTCTCTCTCTCTCTCTCTCTCTCTCTCTCTCTCTCTCTCTCTCTCTCTCTCT